TATCATACAATTTCTTCTTAAAGAAAAAATTAATCATTCTGTGTGTGTATTATTAAATGACGGAATTTTCAATCCCTGGCCGGATTCTGCTCGTGTGTACGCTTTGTAAACTGTAGGGTATGTGTGGCAAAACGAGAACTGGGTCGGAGATTCAGGTTCGTGTTGAAGTTCAGAATACCATTTTATATAGAACTTGAATAATGTAAGTAATTTCTGCGACGAATACATTAGTATATTTCAGTAATGTTCAAAACAAAAAAGGTTTTCAGTTTAGAATTTTCCGACCCGGTCCTGATTTTCCTAACCCAGCCATTTTAAACACAAGTTGTTGCAGGTGCAAATGTTAGAACAAACTATATATAGTTCAACAGGGATTGTATAATTTTTATTAATCAGAATTCGTATTCATATGATCTAATTAAGAAAAGAAAAGTTTTGTCTGCCATCGTAACTTCTCGGCAAAACAAAACGTGTTTCTGCGAGCTCGCTGGATGCGTTTGACAGCTTCATCGCACGTGTGTAGAACAAGGCTAATGTTGGTCTTGCGGACACAGGTACATGTAGGCCTATGTGTACTGTTTGTTAGGAGACTGGGTGACCGTAATGCTATGGACTCACGAAATTTACAACAGTTCCATAATTAGACAGTGCAGTTTTTTTATTAACGTCATTATAAACACTGTTAAACATATTAAATCTAAAAGTCGAATATCTTTGGATATGGGGTAACCCATATCTATTCTTGTTCATTTCACATGCTGTATACTATCATTTAGTAAAAAAAAAAAGTATTTAAAAAAAAAAAAAAAAAAAAAAAAGTAAGGTTCGACCGAGATTCGATCCCGGGACCTTTCACACCGGAAGCGAGAGACATAACCACTAGACCACTGAATCGCTTTACGTGCTGTGAAGTATATGCAGAAGTTAAGTCACATACATGTATATATTCATGTTTTCATGTTCGGTATTCTCAAAATTTTACACAATCCATGGTGTTTGATTTATTTAGCCTTTATTAAACAGTTCTAATAGATGTAATAAGAACATAATGTCCGCCGAGAACCTGTTTTATACGCAATAACTCTCCTCATGCCCCTGCGCTAAAAATAGCGACATGTAATACTATAAATACTAATAAAACAAACGGGGCATGGCACTTTGAGAGGGTCGAGAGACGTCCTAGGAGTTTTGGTATAAAATTACATTGCATAAGCTCAAAATCTTCTTGAAATATCGCCCGGAAATGATAGTTTTACATACAGACAGAATGTATAAATTTACGACCTTGAACTTTGACCTTTTGACCTCAAAATCAATAGGGGTCTTCATTAGGCCACAGGGAGTTGTTATATAAAATTTCATTGCAATAGCTCAAATGGTTCTCGAGATATCGTGTGGAAACGAAAGTGTTTTAACAGACAGAATTTGCTTATTTATGACCTAGACCTTTGACCTTTTGACCTCAAAATCAATAGGGGTCTTCTTTAGTCCATAGGGAGTTGCTACGCTAAATTTCATTGCAAAAGCTCAAAGGGTTCTCGAGATATCGTGTGGAAACGAAAGCGTTACAGACAGACAGAAAGACGGACGGACGGACGGACAGACGGACGGACGGACGGACGGACGGACAAACCCAAATTAATATCCCCCACTTTTCAAGCGGGGGACAATTATGCAGCTAGAAAAGTGGAATTAGTGACATAGTAACTTGACTGTAATATATGAGAGTTCAACAAAGTTCCAGTCAAAGTCTACATCACTGATACATCCAAAGAAAATTCCAACTTATTAATGCTACAGAGCAAAAGAAAAGCAGAAACAATTTTATACTGTGTGGCGATTTATACAATTATCTGACTTCAGAATTCAAAATAATTTGAAAAGAATATTGAAAATAGCATATTTTTATACATTATCTAAAAATCATAACAAAATTTCTATCATCAATTGAATTGGAACAATTACAAAAATTCTGTCTTGAAATCTGAGACTTGCTAGTTGCAGTAAAAATGTATGTTCTGTCAATAAAGAGATATGTATCTTGAAGTTATCAAAATCTTGATTGTTTAAACAATTAAGTTCTGACGAATTAACATGTAAATACAGTTAATCATTTTATACCTTTAGTGCATGTTTATACATAACGGAATACAATTTGTGACAGTCTGTAAATATCACTACGAGATTATGTCCTCATATCAAATTTTAAATCCAAGCTTAAACAGTAATTAAATTCCTAACTTTGAACAGATCTGTAGCTTCTTGAAGCGTAGCATGCTCTGGCTGAAAATGTTTTTGATTTGCAAGCATCAATATTTTTCACAATTTAATTTACAAAGTGAATTAAATAAATAAATGCACATTCTTCAAAAAAGAGGTATGTTCAAAAAATAAGTTGAATAGTTCTGCAAAAATCATAAATGCAGATTAAAATAATTCTGAGATAATTTTCCTCCGTGGATAAACGGAATACACAAAACGTGGAGGTCTTTCATTTTCAGGTGACAGAATTTATCACATTTCAACATTTGCAGAAGGAAGCCTTTCTGTACACTTATATCACTGTATGTCACCAGCATCACCAGTTAAGAAAAATAGAAATCGGAGATGGCAACCTAAAATAATAGCCAAATTACATGAAGTACTGGTAATAAAATCATCATCAGGCAATATCTAAATGAGGATAAATTTCCAATAAATTTCTAATATATCTTTTTTTTCTCCAACCCCCCCCCCCCAAAAAAAATATAAAATCAATAACCTCTCCTTTCAGAACCTACATATATTCTTTTTTTAAATTACAGCAGGAAAAAATCAGGTACAACGCCTGCATATTAACTAATTACAAGATTTTAAAAAAAAAATTACCACAACTAACTACATCATATAAAAACTTTGTACCATGCAAATATTGAAGCAATACTGGGTGTTCAGAAACATTAAACAAAGTCATGTTTTTGGCTGCATAATGCCCTTCATACAAAAAAAGTCAACAATATCATAGAAAACAAGATTGACCAGTTTCTTAATGCTGTCTGACCTCAAGCCAGGAGAAGACAACTCTAGGATAACTCTAGTTTACAAATACATGTGTAATACTAAATATTGATATAAACATGTGACTAGTTATTGAGAGAACTTTTGTCCTGTTATCAATACAAACTTTACCAATAAAATATTTTTGTATACAGTACCAATGTGTTTCTATAGTTCAGAAACAAATAATAATAAAAACAATCACAATTCCAGGAAACCCAAGAGAAAAAGCTTTTCAGATCTCAGAAAAATATTCTTTTTTTCAAATTCAATTTAAGTTTCTCTGGAGATTTTTTCCCATTGTGTATAGGTGAACTTTAGTGCAGAGTACCAATATGGGATAGATCTACTGTCTTTACTGCCAAAAGAATTGCTTTTGATTTTTGACGAATGAATATCAAGAAGTTTTCTTGTTGTTATCCTGCCGATTTTGAGATAAAACAATTTTAAAAAGTCTCTGAACTTACTTACATGTCTTCCGTTATGCATGGATATGTAAAAAATTTAAAACACATACTGGACTTGGATAACATGAATTTATTTTCACCTTTCCAAAAAAACCTAAATCTCCCCAAAATTTCTCGTAACCTACGCAGCACCTAGAGAAAGACAACCTGGTATTGTAAATTGTATTTAGAACTTGATGCTAGATTTGCTACGTTTTCTGCCATGGTTTTTTGTTCCACTCCTTTGCTTGAGGATCTGTGTTTATTGCGACATTTGTCCCCAAAAGAACATCCAGTGGTTCTCCAAAAATAACATCCGTCCCCGTTCACGGGCCCCGTGGTGTTTTTCTGGTCCACTGCTATACTGTTCACTGCTGTAGAGTTCTGATATTGGGTAGCTACCGCTTTTCTGGAAATATAAAGAGATCACTCTCTACACAGGGCTAGACAAATAACATGGCCCGACGCCCCAGGACAACCTATTTTGATTGGCAGGCAAATAATTTGATAAGTGGAACCCTTTCCGTTGACAAGTCTTTTTTCCAGTTAACAAAAATCATACGCCCAAATGCTTTTGTTTAACCATGGATGAAATATAATGAATTGCAGCGGAACAGCTGTTTTTTAAGAATATTATTTTGGTAGGACAAGTAACTTTACGACTGTAAGCTGTCCTAAGGCAAGAACTGGAAATTTTATTTGTATACCCTGAGGTACTTTTTTGTCTAGTTACTCATTTAACAGATACCTTTCACCAGAAATACTGACAAAGAGAAATATTTACAAATCTATTTGAAGTCCTATGAATCAGCTGTTCACTTTCTTGTTTCTTTAAACACCTCAAAATAATTCTGACCATTCAAAGAAAGTAAACTGAAACACTTCTGGTATCTGCTCTTGATAACATATTATCATTATTATTATTATTATTATTATTATTGTCTTTTGGCAACTGTTGAGCAAAAAGTGCAAGGTGGAAATTACAAGGTTTTATGTTAAAATACCGGTATTGCTACAATGACGATTTATGTCATAAAGATATACTTTCTCATGCTTTATGTTATACTATTATGTCACATGAACATTTCTATATTGTTAAATAAATTAATCAATATTAAAAGGTATGCGAATTCAATACCCCCATTTGAAGCCCATCAGTCGTATACTACACAGAGTGTTGTCTTTCTTAGAATTTTAAATTTGAAAATTCATTTCAGGCACACTGATTGAAAGTTATGGCTGAATTTTAGAAGGGGACCAAAACCCCCTTTGCCAGCAAAGATGCATACCACAGAACGAATGCATAAAATGCTTAATTTATTTTTAAAATTTAATTTAGTGACATATAAGTACACCTATTCTCTTTATATTTGAAATTGTTAACATACACCTCCTGATTGTTCACTATGCATATCATGTGATAATTGTTATCAGTGTCAAGTTCAAATCACTTCACAGTGCATAGCTACTTTAACTGTACCTCTAATCTAAGTCATAGGTAGGAGACTCCCAACTAACATGGCAGCCAGTAAAACCAAATATCCACTGGGCTCCCCTCAAGAGCATATTGAAATGTGCAAAAGTCATGTTTTACCTATTGATGTTATTTGTGAGGACTGTGATGAATTCATTTGTGGCAAGTGTACAAAAACAGACCATAAGGAACATGAATGGAACACTCTACCCACGGCAGCCACCCAAAGGAGAAGAGATCTGCTAATATTTCTTACACAGATCAAAGAAGGGGATCTGCTTGGGATTGATGAGAAGATACGGAAGGTTTCAAAACAGATCACAGAAAATGAAGAACTCTGTGACTCTGAGATTAAAAAACTTCAGAAGCATGTTGATGGGATAATGGCTAAATTGACGGAAATCAGGGGAAAAAATGAACGAGGATTGAGAGGATTTGGAGGAAAAAAATAAAAAGTTGAACAGTGTGAAATCAGAGCTACACAAGAAGAAGAAAGAAATAGAAGAAACAGTTCAGTTCATAGAGGACACCAAGAGCGCCATGTCAGATTACAGTTTGATTGACAATCACAGAGAACTGACAAAACTATTAGCTGTACAGGATGTTGATATAAAGGACTGTGAATATTCAGTGAGATACGTTAAAAGAGAAATCAGTGATGACGTGATGGAGAATATGATTGGAAAAACTCTGGATTTAAACAATATCAGTCTGAATAAAACAAACTCATTCAAATATGGAGATAAATTAATAGGTGTATTGGAGGCATTGTGTGAAGATCAGTGTTATATAAGAGAATTAGGGTCAGATAACATTGAAAAAGTAAACAAAGAAGGTGACAAAAGTCATGAATATAATATTAAAGCCAATGCCATGTGTATGAACCATGATAACGGTGATGTTTATTTCACTGACTTCAGTAAAAAGTCCATCAGCAGTCTGTCACCATCAGGATCTGTGTCTATAGTCATCAGTACAGATCCACTGGTACCATGGGGAATCTGTCAGTCAGTGGACGATGGACTGCTGGTCACCTTGAGAGACAAAGCATCAGATTATTACAAATTAGACATACACAGCAGACGTCTGGTGAGACACATCACAGTGACAGGTGATGTCATCCATGAGTACGAGTACCGGGAGGACGGACAGACCAGACTGTTTACATTCCCACTCAAAGTCATACAAAACAGTAAAAGTGATATCTGTGTTGTGAACCATACAAGTTACACTACAGGTGAACTAGTCATCCTGTCTCCCTCTGGTCGAAGGAAGTCTGTCTACCGTGGACAGAATCTGACAAAGGACTTTAAACCAACGGATGCAGTGTGTGACTCTCTCTGTAACATCCTTGTTACTGATTTTTACATAAGTAAAAAACAGATCCATCTGCTGAGTCCTGACGGGGAGTTCCAGAAGTTCTTACTCCAGGACAATGATGTAAATCTTCCAGTCAGATTATCACTATACAAGTCTACCCTGTGGGTAGGATACCGGGAAGGACTTGTCAAAGTGTTTCAATACACATTGTAATCTTCTGGAATTTTGATTAATATCACTCATATTTTTATCATATCAGGTCCCATGATCATAAGCTGAGAACAGACTCAAGTCAAAATTCAAATTAATATAACTATATTTTAAAAATTTTTTGATAATAAACAAAACATGAATTTACATTTGAAGCAAGACTGCAAATTTTTAAACAAATAGATTTAATAATCTCAGGAAAATGACACATCAAAATTTCGACTTCAGTCTGTTCCCAGTTTATGGTCTGGGGGGCCATAAAAAGCATACAGTTAAGGTAGCTATGCACTGTGAAGTGATTTGGACTTGACACTGATAACATATCACATGATATGCATAGTGAAAAATCAGGTGTATGTTATAACAATATCTAATATAAAGAGACTAGGTCTACTTATATGACACTTAATTAAATTTTAAAAATATATGTCATAAAAAGCATAAATATATGGTTTTAATCATTAAGGTGGCAGAGAATAGTTTCGTACTAAAGACCCGGTCATATTTCTTGAAAAACTTAGATATTCCCTGTTTGATGTGATATTTTATGTAGAAAAATGATTAGAATAATCATGGGACACATTTGCAGTGAAGCAGAGTTCATACTGAAAAAAAAATGTGCAACATGTGAATATTACTATGACACTAAGCCTATACAGAGTTGTAAATGCAAAACTAAGACGCGTGGTCAGTTGCAGAGGAAATTCAGCTGAAAAGCCGTAGGCCTTAGAAGAAAGTGTGTATCTCAGATGGAAGGTGAATGATCCCATATAAATTGGTGAATTTTCTTCAGGGCATAGATTGAACTGCAGAATACTGGGTGTTTTATCCTGCTCGCTCGGGTCTGTGGGTGGGCTGTATGGGTACGACTCGGAAAAACAAGCCAAAATCTGGGTAGTTCCGGGGTGTATTCTTGACTTTAATGGGCAGATTACATGTAATTTGTTGACATAATTTTTGAGTCATGGGCATATGTAGTGTAATTAATTAGTCCCTGGAAAACTGTTTCTTTGTACATGTTTTATGGATCGCATGTATATGTGTATCCCCTCAGCAAATGTTTAGCTTAAAAAACTATCCCCTGCCACCTAAAGCTTGTATAAATATTGTTACGTTTCACTAAGTGTACCTGTGATATTCGGGTTAACTGTTGTTTACAAGTTCGGAATATATGGACCTCTACCCTATTCAAGATCAATAATTTACCTCCTGTGAATCATTGAAAAACAATAGCTTCTGATGATTGACAGACCAGCCACCTTTGCTACCTGATAATCTGAATTTGCGTGTTTTGAAACAATTACCCTGGTACCTGGTCACGCGTCAAACACTTTTATGTACCCGCCTTGTGTACACGCGGGCTAAAAATTACAACAGTGTAGGTTATTTTATTTTTTTAAAAATTCACAGTAGATGATTTAAAGATTTGACTTCATAAACATTTGTTTTCAATTTTCAAGGAAGTATGATACTTGTAAACGATATGGCGTCCAAGATATCTGCATGTAGATAGTCCTTGGAAAACCTATCTGTCCACTAAAATTACTACAAAATGGAATATCTATAGTTTTAACTTTTTATCTATTCCTTAATTTTTAATTTTACAATTTTTTAATATTTAAATTTAAAACTATATTTCTTGATTCTTTTTTTTCTTCAAATGATAACAATATGGTCAATGAAAGCTTTTTGTTTACAAATAAATTTTATATTGAAATATTTAGATTATTTAAATTATTTTCACTCAAAATAAGACACGAAACACGTATTGATAAAATTGATTTACCAAAGACAGACTTCCTGTGTAATGCTACGTTTTATATATAGACTTTTGACATTTTGAGTATTGGGGGTCTTCAAGTAAATAACACCGCTGTTTCTTAGACCACTCCCCCTCCTTTGGTAACCGTACGGTAAAAAAAATGGGTCTTTAAACATAAAATACAGTAGATTTAACCTCTGCATGTGGAAGGCCATCAACACTAAGCTTGATAACTCCACTATAAGACTATAGTAATGAGTACATGTGCAAGGGACCTCAGCTTAGTGGACAGACTGCAGTCTATGTTCAACAAAGTCATTCACAAAGCAATTCGTCCATTTGGCAATCTTCTATGATAATGGAATATCCAGATTAACAGTTGATCAAATGTAAAATTCCAATTGATGAAAAAAGTTCCTTTGTTTGTAAAGATGTATGGATTAAGATAATTTAGGTTACAAAAATTACAAATTACAAAAATAATGATTTCAGGTACTTTTATGTTTAAATAAAAATTACTCATATTTCATGTAGTTGTAATTAACGTTATTTTTTTCTAGTAAATGTGCGCTTTAAACTTTAAATGGGACACCAAAGCCAGGGAAGGGGATGGGGATAACATTGAAATATCTTCATTTTGTTGATGAGAGTTTAAAACTCCTGTATCACTTGTGCTCTTGTGACTGTCTTAATGGGCAACATAACATTAACTAAGCAAACAAAAATTAATATGTGTCATATATATTCATCAACATATTTTCTTTTCTCACTTTACTTTATAAAAGTTTGATACACATTTTTAAAAAATAAAAATGGTTTCCATTACCAGTTTGAACTAAGTATTTCATGGAAGATGTCCACTCTGAGAAATAAATATTTTACATGTACATCTCTCATAAAAACACCTGCACCTTTGTACAACTTATAACAGACAAATATCAACAAAGTTCCAAAACTTTCTTACATGTCACATACTTTAAGCAAATTTTGGCCAAGTCTAACAATTATCTTGAAAATTTGGAAAAGCATAATAAAATGATATCCAATCTTTTTAACTACCTTTCATGCTAAAATTCTTAAGTGTTCAAATACATGAAAAATTTTCCTTTTAGTCTCTAACATTTTCAAGGACTTTACATTTATTTGAAACTGGAAAAATTGCACATTTAGCTCTCCAAGAAATAAAATTTTGGACAGACATATCAGAAATATGGAATAAACATCCACATTTTCTATCTCAGAGAGCTACAATAATGCGGCCAGAAAAGTGGAATAAGTGACATAGCAGCTTGTCTGTAATATTTGAGAGTTCACTAAAGTTCCAGTCACTTACTACATCACTAGTACTGATGCATCCGAAGAAAATTCCACTTATTAATACTACAGAGTAAAGGAAGTATTGAAAATTATTTTAGAAAGAATTCCGAAAATAGCATATTTTTAAATCCACAAAACTAACAAGATTTCTTTAATTTTCTTATTGAATTGGCACAATAAAACAAAATTCTTTTGAAGACTTTATCAAAACCTGTGACTTACAATAAAAGCATGTTTTGATGCTCGGTCAATAAAAAAGACATGTATTACATTCTACATCATGAAAGTTTATTCTACATCATTAAAGTTTTGAAGATCTTGATTGTGTAAAGTTTCAATTCAAATTCACAAACAAATAAAAACAGTTAATTATTTTATACCCTTTGTGCATGTTTATACATAACGGAATACAATTTGTGACAGTCTGTAATTATTACTACGAGATTATGTCCTCATATCAAATTTTAAATCAAAGCTTAAACAGTAATTAAATTCCTAACTTTGAACAGATCTGTAGTTGTTTGAAGCGCAGCAAGCTCTTGCTGAAAATGTTTTTGAATTGGCAAGCATCAATATTTTTCACAATTTAATTTACAGAATGAACTAAATAAATAAATGCACATTCTTCAAAAAAGAGGTATGCTCATAAAGTAAGTTGAATTGTTCTGCAAAAACCATAAATACATATTAAAATAATTCTGAGATAATTTTCCTGCGTGGATAAACGGAATACACAAAACGTGTGGAGTTTTTTCATTTTCAGGTGACAGAATTTATCACATTTCAACATTTGCAGAAGGAAGCCTATCTGTACACTTATATCACTGTATGTCAACATCACCAGCATTATACAGACATCATATAAACAGTGGTATTCTACAGTTAAGAAAAATAGAAATCGGAGATTGCAACCTAAAATAGCCAAATTACATAAACTACTGGTAATAAAATCATCTCAATATCTAAATGAGGATAAATTTCCAATAAATTTCTAATATATCTTTTTTTTCCCAACCCCAACCCCCAACCCCAACCCCAAAATAACTCCAACAACCTACATATACTTTTTTTTTTAATTAAAGCAGAAAAAATCAGGTTCAATGCCTGCATATTAACTAATTATAAGATTTTAAAAAAAAATTCTACTACTAATTACATCATATAAAAACTTTGCACCACGCAAAAATTGAAACATATAGAAAACAAGATTGACCTGTTTCTTAATGCTGCATGACCTCAAGCAAGGAGAAGACAACTCTAGGATAACTCTAGTTTACAAATACATGTATAATAGTAAATATTGATATAAACATGTGACTAGTAAATGAGAGAACCTTTGTCCTGTTATCAATACAAACTTTGCCCATAAAATAGTTTTGCATACAATATTCAAAAACAAAATTATAATAAAAACAATCAAAGTTCCAGGAACCCAAAATAATAATCTTTTCAGATCTCAGAAAAATATTATTATTTTTTTAAAATTCAATCTACTAGTATTTTGCCATGTTGATTTTTTTTCATTGCTTAAAGGTGAACTTTAGTGCAGTGTACCAGTATGGTATAGATCTAATGTCTTTACTGCAAGAAAAATTGCTTTCGATTTTTGACCTCTTGAATATCAAGAAGTTTTTTTTTTGTTATTTGTCCCCGAAGGAACACCCAGTGGTTCTCCAGGAATAACATTCGTCCCCATTCACCGGCCCCGTGGTGTTCTTCTGGTCCACTGTTATACTGTTCACTGCTGTAGAGTTCTGATATTGGGCAGCTACTGCTTTTCTGGAAATATAAAGAGAACACTCTACACAGGGCTAGACAAATAGCATGGCCCGACACCCAGGAAAACTTATTTTGATTGGCAGGCAAATTATTTAATAAGTGGAACCTATGTCGTACTCCACTGAGAGTTATCTTTATTTAAATT